AGATCTTCTTTGACCTGGATATTAGAGGCTCACCTGCTAGCAGCTTCCAGGGAAAGAGGAACAGAAGAGCAGCGATCCAAAGCATTTGCCATTGTATGCAATGACCTGGCCTCAGGAAGTGGCTCAAATTGGAGTTAAGAGCAGATACCAGCCTAGACATATCCTCTGTTCCAAGGCTGGTTAAATATGTATGGCTTTAAAACTAGGGCAATACTTGAGACCTGACACCAGGGTGCAGGGAAGGGGGGTCCTCCTCTCCCACAGTTGGCAAGGTGCCTGGACTGGGGCATCTGGCTGCAGCAACAGCACAGCAAAGCACCAAACCCACTCACCTGGTAAGACACCCGGACCTTGGACTTTGACCGTCTCCTTGTCCCGCTCGTCTGCCAGCTCTGAGTTCTCAACCACTTGGTCCAACTCCTCACTCAGCTAAAGGGAGAAGCAAAGAGAGCAAAGACGGGTCAGCTATGTCAGCCTTGCTTTTCTGGACTAGAATAAGAAAGCAGAAGTTGCTTCTCACTTATCGTCACCAAAAACCACATGATGTAGAATGCGTTACAGCAATTTTACAGATGAGGACACTGAAGCTCAGAAAGCTCAAGAAACTGTCTGCCCTCTATGTTCCTAGGACTACCGTAGCCAAGTACCACAAACCAAACAGCTGAAAACAGCAGAAATGTCTTCTCTCACAGTTCTGGAGGCTAGAAGTCTGGAATCAAGGTGTCGGCAGGGCTGGCTCCTTCTGCGAGTGGTGCGGGAATCTGTTCCATGCCTCTCTCCTGGCTTCTGGTGACAACCAGCAATCCTTGGAGTTTGTTGGCATGTAGAGGCATCCAATCTCCACTCTCCGTTGCCATCTTTACAAGGTGTGCTCTCTCTGTGTCTTCACATGGTCATCATCTTTAAGGACACCAGTCATGTTGGATTAGGGGCCCACCCTACTCCTGTATGACCTCATCTTCACTAATTACATCTGCAATGACCTCATTTCCAAACAAGGTCACAATCTGAGGTACCTGGGGTCAGGACTTCAACATATCTTTTTTAAGGAAGCACAATTCAACTCACAATATTTCTCATGGCCATAAAGGGAAAGATATAGCCAGGAGTCAAATCCAAGTTGGTCTAGTTCCAAAGCCCACGGTCTTAACCACTTCCCAAAGGAAGAGGAAATGCGGCTTAGAGTCTGCTGAGAGAAAAGAGGGAACAGTGAAGGTGGTGTCAGAGCTCTCTGTGGCACTCTGGCTGAAGTCCACCGACTTGGGCTGCAAATGGCAACACACAGCAGGAAGGACAGGCAGGCAGTCCATCACAGGGACAGGTGCTAATTACAATCAGCAGCCTGGTAGCCAGCAATCTCAACCTCACTTCATCAGTGGTCTCACCTGTCAAATGGGGACAATTATGCCACTGAGAAGGGTAGAAGGACGGAAAGGATACCATGATAATCAACAAGTCTCTGTAGGATTAAGGAGGAGGGCAAGAGAGGTCAAGACCAGAGCTTAGAAGAGAAGCCATCCCTGAATTGGGAGGAAGAGGGGACAGTTTTCCCAAGCATTTTCTCAGGTTCACAGCATTAGTGTTTAAGGTTTCAAGACATTTTCATTAAAAACTCACCTCCAAGAGACAAGTGAAAAACAGCTCTTATGGATCTATTCTTCTATCTCCCTCTCCACGACTCCATTCCTGCCCCTTAGAATCAGGCAAAATCTCCAATTTAAAGCACTCCAAGCACAAAAGAAAAGGCCAGGTGCAGGGCCTGACACGGTGGCTCATGCCTGTAATTCCAGCACTTTGGGAGGCCGAAGTGGGCGGATCGCCTAGGTCAGGAGTTCGAGACCAGCCTGGTCAACATGGTGACACCCCATCTCTACTAAAAATATATAAATTAGCTGGGCATGATAGCACACACCTGTAGTCCCAGCTACTTGGGAGGCTGAAGCAGGAGAATCTCTTGAACCCAGGAGGCGGAGGTTGCAGCGAGCCAAGATTACGCCATTGCACTCTGGCCTGGGTGACAAGAGTGAAACCCCATCTCAAAAAAAAGAAAGAAAAGAAAAGCAACCAGTGGGAAAGGGCAGGGAAGCTGGTGAAGACACCAAGAGATATAAGCCACCAGTGGGAGCACAGATAAAGGGGTCCTAGAGGTCTCACTGGCCAAAGGGAGAGGAGGATGTTAGTCCTGGGAAGTCTCAAAGTTCCCTGATCCAAGCCTCACCCAGGTCGACCCTGACCCAGGTGCTAACACACTCCCACTGAGTTCCCTTCTTGACTACCCGTAGCCATAATGAGCCTGCATCCTTGTCTGCCCCTGGCCAAATTCTCAGTATATCCCACCCTCCCCAGGGAAAAATCCCCTCTCAGCAAATAAACCTACTCAGAGCTAGGTACACTCACAGAACGGTTCAGGCAAGAAAGATGCCGGCCATTCTCTGGGTGGCCCCTTTCTCTGAAGAAGGGAGAGACAGGCACCACAGAACAGGCCTCTGAAGAAGGCAAGGGGAGGGCACCCTTCCAGTGTCTTCCACCTTGAAAATGCCTCCAAAGAGAAACTGTGTCTACCCTGGGCCTTGGCCCTGCAAGCGGGATAAGTGACTATATTTTAATAAACATTTTATAAGCCCTGCTAGGCCGGCTATGTGTGGACAGTGAGGCACATGTTCCTGCTAAGCCAGGACCCCCAAAGCACCCTAGATGCGGGAGCTGCCCACACCCTGTTAACAAGAGCTATCATTCACTGTGGGGTCACTATCTGCCAGACACTGAGCCAAGCACTTTCCACACCAACTTATCTAATCCCCAAACAACCCTGGGAGGTAGGGACTTTTATTATCTTCATCTTTCAGACAAAGAAACTGAGGCTCAGAAAATTATGTGACTCAATAAAAGTCACACAAATGGCAAAAGGGACAGCCAGGACACCAACATGGGCTTTCTGACTTGAAATCCCTAATTTATCCACTGTGCTCCACACCCTATAAACCTAAAAACTTTCAGACACATCTCTTTCCCCAGGATTCCCCCGCTGTTCAGGGTACAGAATCTAGGGGCCATGGAATCCACAGCACTGGCTAAAATCCCTCACACTCCTTTCAGACAAAGAAAACAGATGGAATAAAGGGGATGGGAGGAGAAATATAGAAATTTGTCCAAGCCCAGGTTCCAGCCAAGACCCTACACTAAAAAATGGCAAACCTTAGGTAGATCTTATCTACCTTCAACTTGGCTTCTCCCTCCACTGTGGGGCTAAGTCACCTGCTTTATATAGTCCACAGAGCGCTTCTGTGAATCACAGTCTTTTACAAAGGGAGATAATGTACAGCAGTAACTATTGACTAAGACTGAAGGCAGCAGGTTCGTATGAGAAGCACAGACAGAAATGCCAGATGGGTCTGGAAAGTGGACCCCTATGAAGCACATGGAACTTGCGGTAGCCCTTGACTTCTGGGGGCATTTTACCGAATGGAGCTTGGCGGAGGGTTGACGAAGAAATGGAGTGAGTGCATGCACAGAGGCAGAAGCACATTTTAAAACTGAGTTTCCACTGTGGCCAGACCCTAGGTGGGTAAGGAGGTGGCAAAGGTAATGGGAGACATGGCTGCTGTGCTGTACAGAGCTTTGGGAGCTTGCTGAGAAGTCTGGACTCTTCTGGGCAGACGAAGGGCAGCGTCAGGTCTGAGAAAAAAGGAATGCTCCGAGGTCAAGGCAGGGCCTCAAGGTAAATCTGGAGAGTATAAGAGACTGAAGGGAGCGATGGTAACACAGTATCACACTCAGAGGTTACAGCAAACACAAGGACACAAACTGGAGGAGGACCGATCTGGAACTGCCTGACCTTGGCCACTGAGGGGGCACGGTGGAGGGGCACAGAAGAGGACGGGTGCCAAAGATGACCAAGGTTTGGGGCCCGAGAAGTGGAGGAGGAGGAGGAGGAGGAGGGCAGTTTCGCTAACATAGCTGGAGAAGTCAGGAGGCAGGGCTTGCCTGGAGGAAGCGCTGGACGCACAGCCTGCAGCGCAGGACAGGGTAGAGACAAAGAACTGGAAAGTGATAAAGTCGTGGGAGGAGGTGAGGCTGGAGGGAGAGAC